GTTATTTTTGAAAAAAATTCCTATAAAAATTTTTAGTGATTTAAAAAAAAATACTGTATTTAAAGCGCAGTATATTGAAATGCATTATTAATTTATTTAATCATATTAAAATTAAATATTCATTTCTCATGATTGTCCGAAGTGAAGCGAATAAGACTATATATATATATGTGGATAAGAAAAATTGAATGCATGTATTATATGTTTATACAATATTTGACAAAAGCAACCAGGTTTCCGAGTTGATATGCAGTGTAGATAGTGGGATCATTGGGATCGATCATTGGGTGTTTTTTTTGTAACAATTGTATGTAAGTGCATTGATTATTAAAAGGAAAAGTCTTGTCTTTTTTGTCCTTTGGATATACTTTTTTCTTAAAGTCTCTTTTAGTGTTCGCTTTGAAACTTCATTGGATTCTGATTTCCTAGTTATATATAGATTTTCAAAATAAAAGTTATACTACTAAATTAATTGTCCGGAGCGAAGCGGAGGACTCTTAATTTCCATGCGGGGTGATACAAAAGTTACTTACTTTTTTGATGCATCAATTATATATGATATATCAAAAAAGTAATTCCGTATTTTCTGTCTGTCTATCCACGTGATCTATATAGTATTTATCCATTTGTGTGTATATAGCATGATTAAAAATCCATCTGCCCGGTTGCTTCGGACTTATATCATAGTTATCTAATATTTTTTAAAAAGAATTAGTTTATGGCAACCTATGAGCGACCAATCAAAATCGATCACGTGATCCACCAGTTAATTTAATTATTATAATTTTTTTTTTTTTTTAAAAAAAAAAAAAAAAAACTAAACTAAACTAAACTAACAAACATTTTATAAACATCATTATGCAAAAAAAAATTATTGTTGTACAACGAACGTCGAACCAACATCCTATTTAAAAAAAAAAAACAGTGACATGAAAACTTAAGTAGCACAAAAAAATTCTAATGATTTCCAAAGACAGCACCAAAATCACACGACAGCTTCAGCGACAACTCAAACGAACACACCAGAATTACACAACGACTTAAGCGATGACTCCAACGATAGCACCAGAATCACACGATGGCTTCAGCGACGATTCAAACAAAGGTACCAAAATCACCCAACAATTTAAGCGACAACTCTAACAATAGCACCAGAATCACACGACGGCTTCAGCATGACTTCAACGAAGGCATCAGAATTACCCAAAGACTTAAGTAACGACTCCAATGACGCACCCGATAGCACCAAAATCACACGACAGCTTCAGCGACAACTCAAACGAACACACCAGAATTACACAACGACTTAAGCGATGACTCCAACGATAGCACCAGAATCACACGATGGCTTCAGCGACGATTCAAACAAAGGTACCAAAATCACCCAACAATTTAAGCGACAACTCTAACAATAGCACCAGAATCACACGACGGCTTCAGCATGACTTCAACGAAGGCATCAGAATTACCCAAAGACTTAAGTAACGACTCCAATGACGCACCCGATGGCACCACAATCACACAATATGACAGCTCCAACGAAGGCACCAGAATTACATAATGACTTAAGCGATGCCTCCAACAATAGCACCAGAATCACACGACGGCTCCAAAGTTACATACCGACTTCAGCGATGACTCCAACAATAATTACTTCAAAATTCTGGTAATGACGAATTACACACAAATAGAAGAAAGAGAAGAATATTAGAAAAAGGTAATACCAATAGAAAAATGAAATAACGAAAGAAAAGAGAATAACGAATAAAAAAGAATAACGAAAGGAGAATGAAAGAAAAAAGGGTAAGGAAAGAAAAAGGGAATAACGAAAGTAAAAGGAAATAACAAAAGAAAAACAAAAGAGACGAAAGAAAAAAAAAAAAAACAGAAAGGGGGAAACGAATAAAAGAAAGAATAAAAAGTAAAACAAGAAAGAAATCAAAAAAGAAAGAGATGGGACAAGAAAAATTGAATGAAGAAACATGAATAAAGAAAAGAGAAAAGAACAAATAAAAGGAAAAGATAAACAAAGAAAGAAAGAGAAAAAAAAAGAGAAAAAGATAAATGAAGGAATATAATAAAGAACGAAGAACGAAAAACAAAAGAAAGAAGCAAAGAAAATTAAAAAATTGTAAAAGAAAGAAAACTAAAACAAAACAAGAATAAACGAAGGTATAAAAAAAAAAAAGAAGAAATAACAATATAAGCAAAAACAAAGGAGAAGAAATAAGAAAAAAATAAAGAAAAATGAAGAAAAATGAAGAAAAGACAAAAAAGCGAAGAAAAAAATTAAAATCATATACCTGCACAAAAAGCAAAAAAACAAAGAAAAGAAAGGGTAAGAAAAAAAATAAAGAAAAATGGAGACAAGACAAAAAAGCGAAGAAAAAATTAAAATTACATACCTGATCCCGAAATTAAGCGCAACAATAAAAGCACAAAAAGCAAAAGACAAAAAAAGGCACAAAAAGCGAAAAACAAAGAAAAGAAAAGGTAAGAAAAAAAAAATAAAGAAAAACGAAAAAAAGACAAAAAAGCAAAGACAAAATTAAGCGAAACAACAAAAAAAATAAATGGAATAATTCTTGTTTATATATGATTATCAATCTTTACTGTAATTGGCCGATCATATAAAGTTGCTATGGTGACGGTTTTAAAATTATTAAAATTTTTTATAAAAAATTTTTTTAAAAAAAATTAATGATAATAACTTTACAATAAATTAAATTTTACAAAATT